ATAAAGGTAAAATGTGAATGAATGAACAAATATAAAAGTTCACAGACTGCTAATTTCCAGACACTTAAGTTAGTGATGGAATTGTGCTGCCAAGGAAAGCATGCTCCTGGTTTGTAAACATCTAATTTTTTTAATCTATGGCTTTCTGAATTTAGAAATCTGCACCAGAAGAAAAGCAGCTGTGGAATTTGTGTCTACCCTAGAAGCACCAATCCATAACTTTTCCATCCTGCTTTAAATGTGGTCATGGAGGAGAGTTGTCAAGATGGAACATTCTAGAAGGCAAAGATGAAGATCACTTGAGACAATGGGCAGAATGATCCTATCAAATGTTTAAGCCACTTAGAAACTCTGAGACTGATAATCCTAAGCATATTCTTTAGACACTCCAAGAATGATTATCCTAGGCACATTCTTCACTGCTATGACAGGGAAGCTTTCAATTTTCTTTTCAGCATGACTTGGTTATTTGCATGTTCCAGTGACTGTTGGGTCTCCTGTCTGTTCCTTCTCCAGTGACCATTTTTACTATACTTAAGCTGTGTGCTCTCCACTATTGCAATAGTTAGAGGTATGAAGCTATAGACTGGAAGGATGAAAAATAAGACTTTTGTCTGCAAATCATCAGACCAAAGGGACCCAGTGTGGATGTGAAGCAAAGACAGCCCATCAGCAGCACCTTTGTTTCAACTGGATCCTGCGAAGGACTGAGTCTTGGATGAGCTTCTCTTTGGAAGAACTATGTTCTGTCTCATAAATATGGGAACAAAAACATGTATGATGAAAACGGTACACACTTAAAGACTGCCCGCTGTCTCCCTAGTATGTACCCTTCACTTCTATACCAGATGAAAGTTCAGTTACTTATGGTGGCCAGCTAAAGACAATTCATGTTCACTTTCTTGGCATCTAATCTGCCCATATCACGAGCTGATCAACCGTCAGTAGAAACAATGCATGCTGCTTTAAGTTCCTTAAGGGAAAGGAGACATTTTCTTTCTCCTTTCTGCCCTCCCTGGTGGTTCCAGAATGCTAGGACCCAGGACAGCAACCATCCTAGTTGTAGTGCATCTGCAATTAAGTCACATTAACACCCTCCCCACTAAGGCAAGTACTGTTATTTCACACCTAAGGAGGATTAACTAAGCAAACCAGGGCTGAATCAGTTTCTGTAGTGATCAGTTCTCTACTGCAACAAGTGAGTCTTAAGGTAGTTGACTATGACTCTACATTTAAAACACATTAGAAATAAGTGGTTTCAAATTCCATAAGCCTGTGTCTGCTTACAGAACAAAACACCCTCAAAATTAAGAATTGAAATGAAAAAATTCATCCTTCATTCAATGATTTTTTTTAACTTCATGAACATTCATTGAGACATCTGAAATATGTTGGTGGCCCAATTTGGTGTTTTCTACCTTCACATTACAATGTTGCCTATTTCTTATTTGGCCAGTGGAAAGGAAATGGTAAATAAAACCTACAGAGGAAATGAAGCATAATGAATGCATTTATTCTGTGAACTTAAGTGATTTTTTTTTCAAACTTTCTTGGTGAGTCATGTCATGACAATGTAATGATTTTAGGTGATTTTTTTCAAACTTACAGTAAATCTTTTTTCTTCTTCAGAATATAGTACTAGATGTGGAAAACTGAAATGAAAAATGGACTCTCCAGCATCTTCCTTCTTCATCAGTGTGTTATGGAAACCACATGCATAAAGTCTGAGTGATTCAAACATAGGGACTGTCTTTCCTATATTTCCATTGGTTGTTGATATTTAAAGAACTGATATTTTAGTAACACCCTAATCCAGTCATTATACTAGACTTCCAATTATTCTGTTTTCAGATCCCAGATTTGGTCTTCCCATTCTCTGTGACACACGGTGTGAGTACATAGATACCCACCTAGTGCCCCCGTCACAGGGGCATGCTGTTGGGGGACACTACCCTTACCTTGACTCTCTCATGTTCAATATTATGCACTTAGTTTGGCTCTGGGCCTTGTGCAAAATAGCTTGTTATATGTGTGCGACACACTCAAACATCAATTTCCAGAGTAAACTCCTCATGACATACTAATCTATCTGAATGTTTCAGATAAAAAAAAGACTTGCCTTCATCTTCATCCTCCATCTGCGCTTTGGCCTCTCTTGAATACATGGCTCTTCGGAGTGTCTTCCTCTCTAACGTTGTTTGGTCTGCTTCCATGTCCTGTGGATAACAATATGCTTTCACTGAAGGAGCTTCTGTCTGAGGAAGGGTTTGACTTGGCCATGGATGACACATGGGATGGTTTTATACTAGTCCCAAGGTCTCTGCTCACTCTAGACACACAGGACTCCTGTCACAGGAGCTGTTATAAAAATAGTGCTGAGGATTTATAGACATTTCTGTACTCAGATGTATAGATCAATAGGAAGCCAGAAAGAGTTATAACATCAGGAACCTAAGCCTTCAAACACAGCTGCACCACTGAGAAATCTTTGGTTTTACATCAATTTCAAACACAGTTTTTTAACCTGAGGATTCACTTATGTTAAATATCTTTTTTAAAAAACAGTCAAGCTAGGCATGATGCCTGTCACCTCAGCCATCAGAAGGCTTAAGCAGGCGAATTACTGGAAATTCCAGGCCAGCCTGAGCTACATAGAGAGATCCCATCTCAATAAATGAACATATAAAGTTGCATGCAATTCTGGGATAGGTAAACTTCTATCACACATCCACTATGACTATAAATGAGTAAATTAAGATGGATTCCCTTAGCATATCATTGAGGGAGCTGTACAAGGGACTTCAGTGGCTTCAGGAGGGAATAGGTCATTCCAAAGAAAATAAGCAATGAGGTCCTTCCATGCCTACGAGACTCAGAGGACACTGTAGGGAAGGAATATACAGAAAAAGAAAGAAAAATACAAAATCAAATTGCCATGTGTTCAGGGTTGAGTGGACTTGTCATTGGCCCAAGGAAAAAAGGGCTTCATCTTCTTCATCCTCAGCCTCAGAACTGGGGCAGCAGGATTGGACATTCTAAGCATGTAGGCCAGAAACATGGTAAGTGACACTAGCCTTGAGTGGCCCCTCAGCATGGCCCAATACATCCCAATTCAAACACGAACAAGCAGACACCAGCAGCAACAGAACACAGTTTGGGGGTTACATCATTAACCCAATGAGCTTCGGTGATCAGTCCCTACATATTTTTTTTTCTTAACCTCATGCAGTATGTGTGATTTGGAAGGCTCACCATTCTAGAAAGTTCCACTGTTTCTGGTTTCATGAAGAGTGGCAGCAATCCCCAGTACATCTATTGTGCCGATTAGACTTTACAAAGGCACTAGACGCTGGTGTTGCCTAATGATGGGAAGACCAACTTGTGTCAATAGACTAGATCAAACATCCATGAATAAAGACCTCTCTCCTTCGTCAATGATGGGATGGAATGGAGCAAACCCAAATAGAAAAGTGGAGTTATCTCTTTGCTGGCTCCCATAATACTATGTGTGAGCCCAACTTTACTTTGTTTTAAGTTAAGGAAAATGTTATTGAAAGTAAATTTTCATAAATAAGCTAATTACTGGATAAGTATTTGAAATTGTGTTGATGCTTGGGTTAAGTAAGTACAAATTCAATTTCATTTGCCCAGTGGATATTTACCAGGCCTGCCCAAGATAAAAGGAGGAGATCATCGAATGACATTCACTTATCCACTCAATAGCAAGGTGGAGAAAACAGTCAGTGCCATCCAAATCAGAGTTTCCAGTCGTATTTGAACCAAACATGTGATCTCCTTATTGTGGTTTTCATTGTCATCTTTCTGACACAGCCCTTCATTCTTTCCCCTTAATTCACACTGACAGTTCTTGCTGAAGCCCTGTGCCAAGGCTTTGATTGGCAGTTTGTCTCATGTTCCTTCTCCACTCATTCCATTTGTCTGCATTTGTGGGCTAGGCTTCCTTAGCCTTGGTGCTGCTGAGCTTGGGCCAGATGGATGCTTTGGGGTCCTCCTGTACTGCAGCAGCTGGAGTAGCAGCTCTGTCTTGGCCCACAACATCCCTGTGCCACCCCAGCCTCAACTGTGATGAACACAAATGTCTCCCAGTGTGGCCAAATGCCTCTTAAGTAGTAGAATTTGCCCTGGAGAATAAGTGAGACTCTGTCCTGACATATAACAATCCAAGTGGAAACTGTTCTATAGAACCCTCCCCCAAGGTATTCCAGGTGTGTGTGTGTGTGTGTGTGTGTGTGTGTACGTAGGTGTATGTGAGTACATATTTCCATACATTCATGGATTCATGGGCAGGCCAGAGGTCATCACATGCTTTCCTCTATTACCACCACCCCCCCCTTATTTTTTGGAGGCAGGGTCTTTCATTGAACTCGAAGCTCACCAGTTTGGTTAGACAGCTGTGCAACCAACCCCAAGGATCCTCCTGTCTCTACATCCTAGCTCTGGGATTACAGACAGACAGACAGACAGACAGACAGACAGACACACACACACACACACACACACACACACACACACACACACACACACAC